AAGTTAGCGCTTGTCCTTGTTCGAAACCATTCTGCTGCTTACTTGCAACCTACAGGTTTCGTAAAAATCACCCGCATAATAACTTCGATTCCTATTTCACATTTTGCGTAATATCACAATCGTAAAAATTATTTATTTTTCATTAACACTTCTGCTCATCTAATCCATATAATTACAAACAGAGCAAAGTGTCCCATCCTGTACATCGTTTTCGCTCTGGGTTTCTGTGCTGCTCGGGAAAGTATATCAATAGATCTTTACCCATCTATCGAACACACTGTAACTTTACGCGTGTACTTAGATTCCTGCGACTACATGTTTGTGCTTAGTATCACAATTACTGCCAGTGCTTAGCAATCTGAGCATCATGAAGTACAAAAATAGAGTTCTGCATTTCCAATGTTAACTATATTCCCAACCCCTGACCACACAATTTACTTTAGAAAAATGACTTCCGATGACCCACTTACGCCGAAATTGCTACCAGTAAGAGTGCAGTATATATTATCATTAGAAGCTGTCCCCCTGTGTCAGATATTCTAAAAAACTCTCACCCTAACCACGTTGAGATTCCCACTTTAGGTCAATTTCTAACATGCATTCGCACATTGTAAATGGATAGTTGGTTAGGTCTTTTTAACACGTGTTACCAAATTGCAAGATGCGTCAACATATGACGGTCTTCACTCCACTGGACTTATGCTTGTCTTTGGAACTTGAACCACCACCAAGCACCGTGAAATTTCAAGGACATTTTTGTAACGTTTCTCCATTATTGTTTCAATTGCAGTGAAATGTCGACTTTATGGATCGAGTTTTAGGCTGCAAGACTATATCGTAAATATCTAGAAAATTGATATGAGGGTTCTTCTCAGCCAGCTTGCAATCAGATAGTTTGTCCACAAGTCCAGGAAAAGCACTAGACTGCAGTTCCAGTTACAAGTTAAATCTTTTTCGGTCGTTTTCATTTCCTTTCAGTAAAGTTTTCTCCAAGCAGTGCACAGTTGGATGCACGTAGCCTAATCGGCTGTCAATAAGTTGAGCTACTTAGGGTACGCTCAAATATGGAATATCTGGCACCGGTAATTTTGGTAGTTTTGTGCCACGTATCTGGAAATTGTGCCCAACTGTGATCCTCAAGGCACGTGCACCTTGTATCTATTCTCCATTTCGTCCACTTACGGTTCATGGGTGTGAGCTCTGGAGCAAGTGAATAGGATGGTCAATTACACCACATGAGCTTTAACGAGGAGGAACACTTGGGTCTTTCCATGTGTGCGTAGTACTGGGTCCCACCAACCGCTCTCATCTGGTATAAATAGGCTTTACACATCCTCACGGCAATATTTGCAGACAAACATGCTTCTGAAAGATCTGACAATATTTGTGTTCTGTAACTTGCATGAGTTGCTCCGTTTACCTGATATAATTATCCCTAGGAAAAAGTAATAGACCTCAAATTTACCTTACTAGTATACGAAGGGGTCTTTTGATAAATTAAACAACTGGGGTTGCTGTAAGAAAATTAATACAAGCGACGTAAATTTTGCTATCCATTCATATACGTTATCATCCAGTTAAACAATGCTGACTGATTTACGAACCCGTAATCTTTCTAAAATCGTAACTATATTAATATAGCTACCCTTCCAGCATGTAGCTAGACATATGCAATCGAGTAATAACCAGATTAGGATAGATATTGTACACATAAATTGCGCAGAGCTTTGTACTGACCTAGTACAGGTAATAATAGTTTTTCATCTACTGTGTTTGTCTATTGCGAGTTTACGATATAAAAAGTACTGAAGCACGATGAATGGATTGTTTGTTTACTTTTAGAATAAGCAGCTGGAATCTGTTTGATGTTTGAGCAATGGTTGCACCATATTGCACTTTCAGGTAATTTCAATGGATACAGTGTGAAAAAATTGATGGTCGTCTGTTGTAAGTATGTGTAAATAACTTGCGAGAGCAGTTTTAATGGAAAGATTGACATAAGCCATGAGGAAACTTGCCGTTAAACGCGGAAGTAGACAGCGTGTAAAATGTAAACCCGAGTGAAACTGTAAACGACCTGGAAACCATCGAATGCAAAACTGTGACAAAGTGCTTACTGTCAATAAATATCCGTTTCTAAAGCAACCTGAGTGGCCAGCAAACGTGAATTTATAATGCCAATTCTACGACTTTACGGGTCAATTGAGAGTATATAAACCAATGGTTATGAGAAGCATAATGGGTAGAAGAAAACTAATTGTACTTATTTGAAACAATACTACATATTTAACCACTAGGAAATTTGACAACCAAGTATTTCATATAATCGACCGCCATTTGCTCTTTCTTTAGTGATCATAGCTTCACATTGTCAGCAAGCATTTGAAAATGGTAAGCACTTTGCTCTTTATAGTAAACTGTTTTGCTTCATAACGGGATGAGCAACGCTTTTAACAACAATCGACTGCATTATAGGATTCATTTCATTGCAAACTTGAAATTGTCAGGACTGATTAATGAAAATATTGTCTAAAAATTTCTCGCAGCTCTATATCGGAATCATGTAATTTAAACATTTCTTCACTTATTGTTTTTTTGTGCAAGATTTCGAAGTAACGGGAATTATTCTGAAACGCGGTGTGGAAATGCCATGGGTTGAGGGGTTGGGATGCAAATGCAACCCCCAAGCAGCCAAAATAAAAACAGACGTATGTGATACGGTGAGTGGCGTTGACATACATCTTCCACGTTTTATCAGCTTAGTCACATTATGGAAGTTAAACCTTTATGATTGTTGTGTATACATCATTAATCGTTTCACCGCTATCGGTCACCTACAACATTTCCGTTCAGATCACGAAAGCAATGAGTTCACTTGAAAATATCCCACAAAATGAGGTGAATTGCACGATGGTATATCTGCTCGGTCACCCTAATCAAGCGCTTTTGGACATTACATTTTCTGACGTCCCACGAAAAGTGAACGAGCGCGAATTGGCGAAACAACTAAGTGAATTGTTTGACAACGTAACGGAGAAGTGCAAGGATCAAAGAGGACCTGTTGTGGGCAAAGTACAGCTAGAAGGTAAGTTCTAACATTAGCTGAAGTTAAATGTGCTGGACATTTAGGAGATTATGCAAACATTTTTCATTGCCACAGTCGAGTTCCCGAACTGCCGCTAAGTAAGGATCCGCGTTTACCTGTGGAACTAAAGATTCATATCAAAAAGTAGAATATTCCAATACCAAATGAAATCATAAATGGCTTAACGTCAATATCGCTATCCTGCACTTTATTGCATTGCGACATTATTGGTTGAATATTTTCTTTTATTCATTGCAGAGAGTTCAAGTGTCGGAAATTTGTGTAAGTAATATCGCAATTTTATTTATATTAATGTCAACGTTGTATGTCCGTTGAACACTTGAATAAGGAGCCACATAGGGAACGATGATAAATCTTAATCCATATTAATTGTTTGTCAGAGTTCAAGTAACATGACCTCAGACTGCAGTTGAAATCCTCTGGGTCATAGGCCACAGGCTTGTCTTCATTAAGTTGACAGTAGATATGTTCAAGAGCTTTGTGATTACATGACAAAACACATTACAAATGCGGGGAAGGAAGTCAAAACTGAATAAAAATTAGTTCTGTGTAACCCGGTAGCCTACCATTTATTGCTTAGGAAGCAAGCACCGTATGCGCCCAATGATCGCTAATGAGGGTTGTCATTTGCTACGTACTTCTAATTGATAATTGTATTCATATCCTATATTAACTTGCAATGTTAACATCCTGCTTTCTTTTTGCTCGTTTATCTCGTTTTGAGTTGTAAAATCTCCATCGAGGCATTTTTGTGTTTATTGTAGATTTTCGCTTTCTTGTATCTGTCTTCGAAAATGGCCATTTCAGTGGATGGCCCAGTGCCTATGATAAACCAGAAGTATTAAAAACGATCGAGAGCATCCTTTGTTATGAAGTAAGTGTGTTGCAACGAATATTACGTAACTGATATCTTCGAAACTACTTAGAGCAGACAAAAAATGTTATAATTTTGGGACATTTTAGCCTGCAAATTGGTTCTTTTAAGGTTTGTAGAACTGATTTAAAATATTGCTTTTTGCTTTAAAGTTTTCCGAAACATTATTGGCAATTTTATGGAATCTCCGCGCATGCGGATTGTTCTTTGTATATGACTGGACAGTTTGTATTTCTTACAGGACATTGCGATTCATTTTAGATGGTTATAAACTGATTATTTCCTTTTGGAGATATCGCGGACTGTTTTTTGTACCTGCGTTCTTCTCAGTATGGTAGCTAAGGAAGGTTTCGTTTTCATTGAGGGCAGTCGTATGCGTTGTGCTCTTTCTGTTGTATCTTATTTTATTCTTAGTGCGTTTTTTATTCTGCTGTCTCCTGTTAAGGATTTAGAACATGGAAAACAGGAATTATGGCTTGTTTAGCTGGACCTTTTTAGGTAGAGGGTTAGAATTTCTACTGGATTACACACCTATAAATCGTACTAGTTTAAGCCGAGTCTTTATCCTCCTGCTCTCCACATCAATAAAACTCGTATTTTGGTGTAATCACTACGGTTTATTTAATAGCCTCATGTAAGCGGAGTACTTTGGTTTAATCCTGAAACGTTATGTATTATTTGGGGCTAATGTTAATCGTTTTGGCAACGATGCGTGAGTACTGATGGACCGTTATGAGTCCTAAGTAGCCCATGCATTTTCGAAATGTGCAGTGGCACAGTTACTGTGCAGTGACGCAAAATACAACTAAGGAGGTCTTATTGTATGTGAGGCTAAAACGCCAGCTCCTGAGAGTGGAAATAATATTACGTTCTCCAGTCAAATGCTGACCGATTGATCAGTTACGGCTACGTGGATGAAAATGGTTGTACTGTTTTCTCCGATTCAACGCAGTAGCCTCTTCCAGCGCTGTCACCTAATAGTTGTGCAGGATGCTCGATGTGTTTTTATTCATTTCACATTCATAATAGTTTGCAAATGCCATGTGAGTGTATTACTGATGATAAGAACAATCGCGGACACTAGGTAATCGTTGAGCAAATTGCTTTGTTGTTGCTTACTGAGGGCTTGGTTCGATGTGGAACTAACCGTACACACTTGCTCCTCATCAGATCGATTGTGGCCAACCACACTTTTAGTACGTTTATCACATACCAGTAAGGTATGCTCATTGACTTTTATCCAACGCGTTAGCATTAAACAAGCGCTGACAGATAGAATCATAGTGAGTAAGGAAAGAAATGATTTATTCTAAGCAACCACTACTGAGATCACGAAATATTGCCTAATCTCATCACAGTATGTGGTTAAAACCACTAAGCGGATAATGCGCACGCCGAATGAAGCATTGGCTGTCCGCGGCTTTTCAAGTGGATTTAGCTACACGACTAGGTCCGGTCGCTATCTAAATCCATTTAAATTTGCCTTGTGATATTAACTAATGTGTATTTGAAACGAAGATGGCGTAAGCTGAAAGTGATCCGTCCATAACTCAAACTTGTTCCTAGGTTACCAACCGGAGAAAGGTATCACACAGCGTTTCAGCTACTAACTTCTTTGCACATATGGACCTGCGTGTCCAACTATCTGCTGGGTAAATGAATGTAAGGCGTTTCCCTTACACGTATTTATTTACACACATCAGGCAGGTAGCAAGGCTGCGACTCGAACCAGACACATATACGTTGTCAGCCTAAACGTCTGCTAATAAGCCAATGAGCCACGGCTGGAAACGATTGTCACAATGGTTTTTGAGACTGAGGATGTCCGCAGCAATCCATTCGTAAAACGAAAACTGGGCTTGCACTTAGCTGTGCTAAGTAGAAGTAGACGTACGTATTACTGTATAGATGTACGGAGTGTAGTGAAATGGAAAATATATAAACAAACAAATATAAAATTACACACGCGCATCAATTACAAGTTTGACATGACAGTAAAGCAACGGTGTTTATAAACAGAGCCATCGGTCATCCGTCTGATGTAGTAATTTAGATGAGAACTGAGAAGCCCTCTAGTTGGCTCAGACGTCAAACTCGCAATGCTTAGCGCTATTCTGTTTAAAATAACATGGTTTCAAATCAACTGGTTTGCTTAATCCCTTGGTATTGCTGCGTTGGATACAATCGACGTGTTTTTGGGATTTACATTTATTAATGGAACAATTCCAACAATGTTTCTACTTCTAATCTTTGCATACATCATCTGCGTCCTATGAAGTTACTTGCTGCGGACGACTAGTTTGTCCTTAAACGCAGTCTACACATTACACCCTGTCGCAACACATAGGTAGAGATGAAAGGAATTGGAATACCCATCGTATTACAACTACGGTGATAACAGTGAATGTAAAATAGATATTATGGAAAATGGTACGATGAATTGACTTATACTATTATGAGTAATGGGTTAATGACCATCAATGTGAGAAAGACCTACGGCACATTTGACCTTTTGCAGATAGCACGAGAACTGATTGTCTACCATATCTAGCGGGTAGTAGATTATAGTGGCTGGTAAATAAACAATGTCTTCTCTACTGGTTCCAATACCAGTGTCGTTAGTGCAGAAATAGTGCAGAAATAAGTTAGATCATTCTCATACTAAATAATAATAGTAATAATAATAAAATAATGGGTAAGTGTGGTACGTATTTTTCTCAATCAGTGAGAAACTGTGTACATATTTGACACAGATCATATTTTAGAAAACATTGCATGTCATGCATTAGTGATAAACAGTAATGCAATTTTCATTGTCTCGCTGTTACAAGTATTTACCCACAGGTGTGTTTCAACGCAGTGTGCACTAGTTGGGTTAGAGGATAGTACCAGCACTAAGCGTGTACCACACTGGGTGAAATTATTTATGTTCCACCCACCAGATGTTTTCTGAGTCTTCTTGGAACAGTCTATCAGTTGATCTCCAAGTAAAGCAGGGTCACAATCGTGTTCAAGTCTAGTTAATTGGAGAGCTTATCGCGAAAGACCGTTGCGCTCTCACACAACCTGATTTCAACTGGGAGCTTGTTCCATAAGACAGCATATCTGAGAAGAAATACGCTGGACCCCAGATATGTCCTGCACGTTAGTACAATCAGGGTAAATTCCTTATCGCTATCTACCTTGTCGTACCGTGATGTAGTTCCAAGGAAGGCAAATAGCAGTGGGCGTTTTGATGAGCCGTGTTGCACAAAGGCATCAGGTTATGCCACAACCTTCGTAGTCAAAGCGGACCGATCTGGAATTGTTGGTAGCGCTACAAATAATTTTTACTGGATGTTGTGCTTAACAAACCTTCGGTAAATGACCCCTAAATAATTTCCAGAGATGCTCTGTCAGAGTTCCTCATGCTGTCAAAAATGATATTGCAACATTTCAAAATGGGGCGAGGGAGGATTTTGAAGAGTTCTACTCTGACTGGGGTTATATGGCTCTTATGCAGTATCTCAGACCCTGACTTTCTGACCCTGGCCATCTGGTATTCAACTTGTTGGGAAAACTTGAATGTGAGAGTATACCTGCTTCCACGTTCGTGGGAGGACAGCTGTACACCAACGTGTTCGGTTGAGCGTAACTGATCTGTCGGGTATCGAAAAACTGCGCTACATTTTGCTAGCTATTTGTTCAGCGAGATGTTTATCATCCAAATGTCACACCCTTTCTCAAGGGGGTGGTAGTCTTCTAGTGTAATCAGCAGTGCATCTTGACGTTCAGCTTGTAGGAATTGGTAGACTATCTTTATGTTATCTGCAAATAGAAAAGGCATACCATGTCTAATAACTGCACTGATGTCATTGACGTAGAGCAGGAACAGCAAGGTGCCAAGTACACCGGCTTGAAAAACGTGATTGGTGATGAAGAATAGTGATACGTACCTAAGGAAGTCTGTTTAGGTACAACCATAGCCAGCCTAGGAGCGGGTCCTGGATTCCAAAGGAAGCAATCTTATTCAAGAGCTGTTTATGTGGTACTCCGTTCAATGCCATTTTCCTCTCCAGGAACTGAGGTAATTTTGCTTATCTTGAGTCAATAGAATACGAAACCTGGTTTAGACAATGCAATGAGCAGTCTATGCACGGTCGCTTGACCAAGAGACCATGATGGGACCTGTCTATCAGCTCCAGCGAGTCGATGAATTTCATCACACTGTTCTTAATCATTTTCTCTAGTACCTTGGCTAATAAAATTGTGTGATGAATTAGTAGGTAATTGTCAACATTTTGTTTAGAGCCCCTCATGTGACGGGGATGAGGAGCAATGTCTTCCAATGTGCCGGAAATTAGCTTGATTCCTTCGTTAGGGTAAACAAGTTCAGCAATAACAACGGTATGGCAGATCCTCCCAGTTTTATGACGGCAGATGGGATACCATCAGAATCAGTTGGAAAGACTGTTCGACGAAATCGATTACATGTTGTGTAGTGCTGAGAGGAACTTCAACCTCACTCAAGGCTTTGCTTGTTTCCACCCCAAAGCATGCATTTAACGGGTCCGTCTCCATGCTCATGGAGGTAGCGAAAATAGCTCTATGCTGCACAGGTGGCTGCTGGATGAGGAATTGACTGTCCGTGTGCAATAACCAGTCCGTCGATCAAGTGGGAGTGGTGGTTGATTCTGCAACGCGGAATTTTAACAAATTCTTTTGTGTTATATGTCGTTCGTAGAGCTATCTGTTTTCTGCGTGTCCTCTTCGTCAACAGTATTTGCATGATCCTGTCATTCATGTTGTGCAACTGTAAGCGCAAGGTAAATGTTCCCGTCTTTATGTATCCAGTAATTAGTCTTCTACATTTCCAGCTGATTGAACGAACGATTGCGTCTAGTTGCACACGTGTATTTCCCATATCTCGGGGATTAAGAACAGCAATGTCCTGATTGATCCGATGCTCGAAATAGTCCACGGAAGAGCACATGTTAGAGAGGAAGAATGCATCGCAATCGGATGATCAGGTTACTTGTTGGAATTGCTTCCCATTTAGCCCATGGATTACATATTGTGGAATAAAGGCTTGTTTGATGGCCAATTTAATACAGAACGGAAATCGTACCACCTTGTGATCGCTACCGGGCAAATTTTGTAATATCCCTGGTTGTGCATTTGTGATCCCCAGAGCGAATATCAGGTCGATTATACGGGTTGCCTTGATTGGTTAAATAACCCATTGTATCCACCTACCGATCTTAAGCGAAGTAAGCAAAGCTGTAAGTGTAGAGAACGGTGGTCGGGAGGATCAGCTATTGTTTAGTGGGCTAAAATCAGCAACAATAAACTTCTGTCTGTGCGACACCTCAGCAGCACATACTAAAGCTGTATTGATGATAGCAACAATCGTTTTAGACGAAGTTGGCGCGTTGTAGACGCATCAGAGTAGGATGTGAGAACCGGTTACTGAGAACGACAATCATAGAAATCCCGGGGGAGATTTAAACGCTGTGGATAATAGCGAAATTCTGCTGCAAATATATGGTGTAGATATATGTCGCATCAACCTCCTTTGGCTGTGCCGCGAGCTAGTGCTTAATGATAATAATTAAGAATCATTAAGGTACAACCGAATGTATCGGACGTGTACCACCATTCGATAACGTGGATTGCTTGTTATGTGCAAGTATGCTTAGAAAGTACAGTATGTTGCTAATAGATCTGGCATTATGTAGTATTACAGGAAACAGACTATTAGGTGTGGGGTCAGCGCGTTGCGCTTCGTTGTTATAAACATGGTTGTAGTCAGGTATTAAGGGGTGTCGGGAGTCGCTGTACACATACGAGATGGGATCGAAGGTGGTCTTGTCCTCTTGACACTGTACATTCTGTTATCTTTAGTGTGCCAGCTTTTGTGCATTATGGCCAGAGGTACCAACATGACTTTTGTCTCTGATTTTTCGCAGCTCAGGTTGTCACGTTACAGTGTAGGTGCGAAGTGCGTTGGTAGATCTTATCCATATCTACTGTGTTCTTCACAGGTTTAAATCTTTTGTTGGAACCGACCAGCGGCTGTGGGTTTTCTGCATTATTGTATTGACTGTCAATTAGGGTCCTTTGGGCGTTGAGTTAAGCTTGACATTCTGTTAAAGAGCCCTCCATAATCAGACGTTTCCAATGCTGGATTCCAATGTGGATTCAACTCGGTTGACACACAGGCATCAAGATGTGGAAAGTAGTGCTTGGTAGCAGTTTGTTTAGGTGACATTGCAGCATCGTCAGGAAGGGTGATGCTCGAAGTTCTTATCATAAGTTGAGCTGTCCTGGTACACTTCTAAGTACCTAGTGATCACGTAAGATAAGCTATCTTTTTGAGCTTTGGTCTGAAAGCACTTAATACAAATAGCCGTTGTAGCCGGTGATGGTGACGAAAGATCATTAAAGGACCTTTGCTAAGCTGTGCGATCTGATTTATTCAATAGGCTTTGAACTCGGCCCGTTCGGCTACGGTGCGCTGATTATCCAACAATCTGTTTGCGCACTCCTTAGTTGGAAATTGAAAAACGACGGGGTTGAAGTGTTTCGGTGTTTTCTATTTCAGACGAAGGCATTTACATTTAATTTCAGACATGTTGCAGGCACTCGGTACTGCTTTGGTAACTTTCCGCAAAGTAACTCTATCAGAAATGTTAAAAGGATCACATTTTCCAGTCTGTGCATTCGTTCATGAACCTTAGACGCAATGGAGGCGATTAACTGTCCTACATTTCTCAATCAGATGGGATCAGAACTTTCCATTGGTTACTCAGATAGTCACATGAAGCTAGGTGATATTTGAGTGGTTTGATGATGGTCACAATTTGTCACATTTCAAGGAGTTGGGATTCCAGGGGGTTGACCTTATCATCGAGTTCTGAATGAAGAAGAACAATTGGATCATGAGTGGCTCGCAGTTAATTTGGGGCCACAATGTTCGTTGGCTTCGCTCGGGCGATGTAGGAACCACTATTTTTTGCTTGTCGAAGGAGGCTAGGCCTTCTCAGTGCCGGAATACTGTACTGATGCGAAGGCTAGATTAAGTAAATAGAGGGGCTTGACGAAACGACGACCTAACCAATGTCTTAAGAGCTTGAACTACGGAAAATTTATTAGTGCGATAATAAGCGAATGCGATACAAACTAACCGGTTTTTAGTTTTGTGCTATCGTCTCACTAGTAGTTGGTTCCGGTTGATGTTATTTCAGTTATATTCAGACAGTTGCTGTTGTTGAGGCTGGTCGCTTATGCCAGTTCGAAGTGAGGTCACGTGACTGCGTCCACAGGCGCAGAGAGGATGGGAAGCGCAGTGCATGAATTACCGCTCATAAACGCGTCAAGCGGGGTCGGAAGTCTTATTGCTTAAATCCGAAGTGCATGTTAGCTGCTGGCGACTGCAAGCTATGTAAGGTGTGTGAAGGGAGGTATAGAGATCCTACGGAACCGTGGCTGCGCACAGATGGATTTGAAGCACTTCACCGTGGCTTTAGGTTTAGAACCGGTTTGATCCAGTTGTTGCTTTGTAATGCACTCGAATGGATTAAATAATAGAAATCTGGAAAGGTATCAGATTGACCTTCCTGTTGGTATCCAAATGGTTCGTGTTAGTCTTAGACGTAGAGGCGTTTCACTTAAGTATCTAACACAGAAAGTGCGAATTGTCGATGGATAACGATCCGTAAGGAGTAAGTTCAAACGACTGGCAAAACCAGAAGTAGTCGCTAAGTCCGATCAAATGAGTAAGTACACTTGATCGTGTAATGAAAAATGGTGCCAAAAGCAATATGATCGAGAGACTGGGAATGACCAAACCACTTGTCATTGTGACGTTGCCACCTTACATATATAGGCGTGGGAAGCTGCTCAAGATTCTATGTAAATTACATCAGTATGATGCGGTGTTTCACAGGGCTGACGAACACATTTAGACAACTTAGACTAATCAGGTCCAGATGATTTTATCTGGTATGTACTCTAAGCACACAAATATAGTTGAGAAAAGATTTTAAGTATAAGTTTATACATATGGTTCTCTGGTACGCTATATAAGTACACGCCATACGCGAACTTACAAAGAGGTCACACCTTAATGGAGGGAATTGAAAATAACCAGCTTAAGAGTTTTCAAATGCAGTACAGCGTTCTTGAGATCATTACTAATTCTAACAGACCTGGTTATCGACTAGCAAACTAGTTCGCTCATTTCAAACACGAAATCACAGAATGTCCTCCAGGTTTCGCATACCGCTTTTTGGGATAAATACTTTGATCCTTCCTGACCAACACACGGTCATTATCGAGAGCTGATTCATGAAATTTCCTAGAATAATGCGGGATGTTCCTGCATTTGTACAACGCATGTTAGGGAAGCGTTTCTGACGAGGAAGAAGATATATCATATATCTGTCCTGGTTCTAACTCTTCGGTTGCCAGTCTAGTCGAGAATCATACTAGTAAATTTATGCTGCAATTCTAGTGTGTGCAGAGTGGAGTAGTTTGGCTTATGTGTTTGTGCATTAGCACTAAGTTTTGTTTCGGCCGTTGCAACCAAATAGGTTCGGATGAAGGTTCTAGCAGCGCTCCTGCATTCTGAATTTGGATGCTTTATTAAAGAAACATTTAGTGAATCAGGTTTGCAGACCTACAAGTACTTTTCGATTACCCGTAGGTAGGTTTACATAAAAGATACCACAGACTGCAATGATGGGTAGGTTAAGTTTTCAAGCTTGATCCCTGTGTAAGATTTGCTGTTCTACAAATTTCTGCTTATGTTATAAAACAAAATGATGTTCACAATGAAATTATGTACTTTGATTGGCGTAACAATCAGGATAGTATAATTGATTTCAGAAATCTTTCGTTTTTAATAATATTTATCTGGTAACAGTAAAGTAACAACAACAAACTAAAAATCTGTTGCTGCTAAATTATTTTATAATTTATAGACTTCAGTATTTGAATAAAAGCGCCGTTCTAGAAAAGCTACCAATTTATTGGAAAAAATTTAACCGGATTCTCGCAAATAAATACCTATTCGATGGATCATATGCCACGGTAGAATGAACGTCATCGTATCACCCTGAAACGGTGCGACTGATGCACCGAAAAAACTATTATTAGTTTGGTCATCCTAAATACCTTACACAATGCGAAATATTTAATTGATGTAGTTTTTAGCAAGACAATCAAACAGAGAATGAAAATCAATTGACATATATGTCTGGCTAATGGGCGTTTCATTGCAGGTCACCAGTTTTGCACAGGAAGATAATCTCATGCGCAATTCGAGGGTGAACTGCATGTTCATTCGTCCAATACGGAGCCGGCCCTCGGGATACTTCCGTGCACAGTTTCAAGGACATACCGCGTTGGATCAAGGGAAAGTCATTGATGAGTTAAGAAGAACAAATGCTACCGAAGAAGTCACTTACTATATAGATCCGTTTCAGTACCGCTTCCGTAAGTAGCCTTTGTAGTGCGATACTGCGTGTGCATTAAGCCAGGCAATGGGTTGCAATATGGTCACTAATAAACTTTAGAAACTCTAGTGTAATGCGTTTAATTTGCTTTTACAGAACAACACAACCTGACGAACGCATCAAGTGAGTTGGTTATTGGCTCGGAAATCGGTGGTACGTCCGATCGAAACGCATCACCTTATACCCGTGATTGTTGTTTTTCATAAGGAATAATTTCTTCAAAATGTTTACACCATGGAAAATAAGAAATGAATTTGGTGTTTTATATTCATACATTTACTCAGAAATTAAAACGCTTTCTGTTACTTGGGGAGTGAATTCAGATCCCGTACAGGTAATGGGATTTGGTGCTATTCTGTACTGTCGTGTCCCTATACACCCACATCTGCCATTAGTTTCACTTAACTCACAACCGTTAACACTCATTGGACTAGGCGTGTCCCTGCTTCTCATTGGCTGAGTCGACCGTATGTTCGTGTGCATGTCGCCATACACTGAAACCATTGTTCATATTGTGTCCATACAGTCGTCCGGTTACTTCTTCAGTTTGCTGCTTCCCGGGACATAACACGTGCCACTACAGATATTTATACATAAGAAGTTATCTTAATTGAGAATACTGCTAAAGTTCGGAACTGTTTTCATGTGCAAGTTGACCAACATATGCGTTTATACGTGACAAAGAGTCTTTGGCTGGTGCATTAATTAATTCAAAGGGGGAAACTAGCTTATGGAAATTGGGCGTTGCACGCCCGATAACATTGCACAGGGACAACGCGTTTTGATGTTATTTCTCCCATCCGGTGGAGAAATCAGGCTTCGAACCCGCGACTATTAGAAAAGTATTGCTAATGAGCACGAAGACTTTTTAACTGTAATTGTAATGTTTTCGTCCCAACTGATTCCAAGCTACATAGCGTAGCCTAGTTCGGAAAAGCGCCAGTCGCCCTTCGCCTATTGGGACTCGTCAGTCGGTCCCCTACTTTTTATCTAACCCATGACTGCTGGATGCAGATGCCAACTAGCCAGCGGCTTAAGCCACTGAGCCATGGAGGAGGTCGGCTGGGCTACATAATTTGCAAGCTAACTGGGTGGTAGCAAGACCTACCTTAGCAGATGACAGTGGCTAGCTTCCGAAGGTCACGACTTCCTCTCATTGCAAGTTACGTCAATAGCATTCGAATCTAGCAGAGGCTACAATGGAATAGTAGCCAAAACCTGTACCCCTTGGCTACCGGGTCACCAGGGGAAACATTTGGCACAGCGCTTAATGACTGATTGGTGGGTCATATTTTAGATTACACGTTGTGTGGTTGGGTTGCGAGGAGCAATCTCAATGTGGACCGCGATACACATTGAAGTGAACCTTGGGCACTGCGATTGCCGGGACCAAGGTTCGCTTTAATGTGAACGCGGTCCACAATGAGATTGCGTGCAGCAATCCAATCACACAACATGCAGTTCATAATTGGACCTCCAATCTGGAAAACTAGCAACCTTCCTGAGGGATTTCTTCGACTGAATAATAAACAGATATAGCTGAGATATGGATGTAGGATATTCACAAAATCTCTGTATGGCGTAAGAGTCAAGATAACTCCGTCTTTAACGGTTACAAAGGTCACCTTTCCGATAGATCAAGTCCAGCTTGGACTGAAGCTCACATACTTGTCTTAAGGTAATGCTTATATGTTCGTTATTTTAAAGTTAAGATTTCCACCGATTTATCAAAAGGATATAGCTCATTATATAATGCGCCGCTTAACACCAATAACAACATCTGTAGCATTTTTCACTTATCGTTTTGTCAATAATAATTGGTGAGTTACTAACATTTGTTGATTAGAGTGCGGTCATGGCGATTTTCGAAAAGTGCTTTACTTTACCGGATCCAAAGCCCCATTGATGATAAAATGCCTGCAATTTGAGAGGTTCCTCCGTTACTTCCCGACAGGTTATGCGATTTCAAGTGGCAAAAACCATAGGTCTAGACATTTGCTTGCTATGCCTTAGTGTAGCTAATTTTAATGCTAACACGCAGACCCTGCTCTATTATCCTACTTATTCTGGGTTAAGATAAGTTAACTATGCAAATGTGCACACAAAGAAATCTATTTCGTTAGTTTCCCCTTGATTTTCACCATGATTTTCTTATATTACATGACTTATATTGGGAGAGTGGGTTCAATACATCCCCGGTTGTAATTCATCAAGCGCGGCTGAAATGCACCACAATCTTCCCAGCTGAGTAACAAAATACCGATTGCAGAGTTCCGGTTTACACCAACAAATCGTCATATTTTCAAAGTATTCAAGTGTTTGCGGTTGGCAGACCGCTTAGTTAAACTCCAAGAAATATTGTATGAATGATTGAGTTGTGGTGTAAATTCAAAGGAAAACTGCTCTTCTTATTCTGGGTCAGATGTATGTCTGGTATTCTTCCTTTTAAATTGGAAGTTGCCTTGGCAACCGACGTATGCAACTTGATGTACAAGGTCATGCGAGTGAGCACAGATAAGTAGCGGGGAAGTGTATTCAGAAGAGCAATTCCCTTATAAAAAGCCTGATCCAGCAAGTTTACTTTGAAATACTACTTTTTAGATTCTTACTACCCTACGGTACTTCGAAGTTATAGACTTCCTTATATGCTATGCACGCACATATACATTTGCGAAAGATGCTTTGATTGAACGAGCACCGTTTCGCTATCCACAACACCTCCACTGGTTACCTACAATTTATTATATCCTCAACTCAACGGCTGAAGCATGCGCCTGAAGCACGATGCGTGACTGCAGCACAGATCATCTTCCGAGGGGACTAGTGTATCTCGGTAGGAATTCCGTTTCCACACATTGCAAAAATGTTTCGGTGAGAGCCAATACCACGAGGCCATGCACCGTACACCTCGATGACCAAAACGAAGATTTATGCGAATAGGAAATTATGGTGTTATCATATTACTTTCTACTCTTGTTCATAGCTATTGATTGGTCGTGAATAATACACCCACTTAGCGGTCGTTGGTCGAATGCGTGCTTGCTGCCGATTGGATTGTGTGAATGATTTAAGACATAACTGTTGTTCCGTGTTGATTGTGCCCAAACATCCATTCAGTCTACTGAGTTCCTGTCCTGCTTTCACGGACACAGCAAATTGACGTCGCGGGCTGCCATTATCTGTACAAAACATAGCCCCTATCCAATTCTGGACGGATCCTGCCATTTCTCCAACGGCAAAATGTTGGGAGGATTGGCAAATTACTGTCTCGGATTTCATTTCGCTTCTACCGATCATGAACACATAAGTGATGTTAGAGAAAGAGGATACTTTGAAGCCCTTTGGCCTCATTTCGGTTTTGAAGATCGACGCATATTTAATGCCATGAATCTTCACGAGAAGCCCACCCTGAAGCATACATTCGTGGCGCATGATAAGCAACAGGGAGGGCGTATGAACACATACATTTCCCGCTACAAATTCACCTAGATGAAGTAAACACCCGGTGGACATTTGGACAACTTCATATTCCGTCTCGTCTATTCTGTGTGAAAATGGGACTTTGACAGTGTCCCCGAGAGGAAGCTATGAGAAACGATGCTTATAAAGGAACTGATCTCCAGCCTGTCTGTTTCTCGAATCACAGAAAGTCTGTTAATGGAGGACTCTGACAACCTCTCCTGGGATCAGGCCTGTGACATATCTCGTGCGAAGATCTAAGTTAGCGAACAAAGTAAAAATTTGCTTCCCACCGTTTCGTCTGCTGAGATCGACCGCTTGAGCTCTCCAACATCTACTACGATATTCTCAAGTGGTAGCAAGTGTTACCACTGTGGAATAACTGAAGACCGCGCAAATAGTCAAGTATGTCCAACCGGAAACTCAATGTGTCGGAACTGTTGTAAGTCTGGACATTTTGCCAGTCTGTCGTTCCGCACAGTATCACGTGTTAAACCCTTTTACCGGTAACCTTTCAAGCCTCCCCGACAAAAATTGAGCGGACAGTAGTTGACATTTGCGAAGATAAATTTTCGATTTCTTGTTCTGCTTAGGCGCCTAGATTGCCTTCCCTAAATATTTGCACTGTGTTTTTGAAGTGTATAGCAAAAGCATTCGCTTAGATATGGAGCTAGGTTCTGCATCACCCATTACAATAGTTCCGTACAGCTTGTACAAACAGTATTTTTATCTACCTCTTGAGTAGCTATTTTCATCTAACAGTGTCCCACGTTCGTCTCCAATGATGCTTCCGATGTTGGTTTAGGGGCCGTTTTGTCCCAGTTGCACGAGGATGAAGAGAAAGCAATAACATATGCTTCACGAACTTTTTGAACACGGAAAGGAATTATTCTACTGGTGAAAGAGTGGCTTTGGCTTGTGTTTGGGCCTGTGAGAAGTGGCACTTTTACTTATTCGGCAGTCCATTTGTTTTGCCTTCTGATCACTCTGCCCTTACATCCCTGCTGAACCGTGGCAATAAGCCTCAAAATTCGCTGCACCCAAACCGCTGGTATTCTCGCCTACTAAATTACGACTACGAAATTAGATACCTACCGGATGGTGTTAACCAAGTGGCCGATGCACTTTCCAGGCTTAAAGTAAGGGGAGAACGACGACTTAGATGAGATGAAAAATGATTTCCCATTGTTCATCCGGAGCACCCACTGCTATAACTCTCGACCGGATTTGTGAACATACTGACGGCGATCCCAGCCTTATGAATCATAGAGAGCATCTGCTTAACGCGTGGCCTAGTCACACTCGAATCCAACCGGTTACTGTCCTACTAGACTCTTCGCCACGAACTTTCCATAGTAGGCAATTGCATTATGAAAAGCGAAATACTGGTGATACCTCCTAGTCTTATTCCAGCGGTGATCGACTGCGCGTGAGAGTCATCCTGCTATTGTGGGAACGAAGGTCAGAATACGCGACTACTACTGGTGGCCGAAGTTAAATTTCAGTGTTGAGTTTGCAGTTCACGAGTGCCATGCTTGCCAACAATCCGACAAGAGTGCGAAGGCTTTGGGACCTCCAGTTCAGCCAATTGAGTGTACTTTGATGCCTTGGGCTAAAATTGCCATCGATGTCCTGGGTCCATTTGCCAACGTACATCCTAAGAAACGAAATGTGCTGGTTGTAACCTGCTTTTATAGCATATGGTCAGAAGCTATCCTTTGCGGAGAAGTAACTGCGAATGTTATTA